GTTTTTTCAAATATTTTACGTTAATAACGTCGTCGTCAACGTTTTAAATTTACATAACTAAATGTCATTTTATTTTTCACAGTTCGATTATAAATAGAAAAAAATACGAATTTCATTTTTCGTTTATCCTGATAACTCATAACATCTAACTATGTAAAACTTCATAGTAAAAGTAATCTAAAAGTCAAATAAATGACTTCTGTCATCTGTCGGACAATTAAGATTCGCAATTCAATTGTCATTTGTGACATATGTCAATTGCGTTTCATGCAAATCTGATTGCACGTGCTTTTGATACGATTAACTTGGCGTAACTAAAACTACCAGAATCAAAACCAATAAAGAAAATAATAGTTCAATTAATGTAGATATTGGCAATATTAATTAGCATTATTTGTAATTAATTTGTTTGCAATGTTAATGGGAAATGATGGTATTACCAACACCACCTCCCACCTCCACATGGCGCGGAATTGACCGATTTAATGATTTGCATTCGAATTAAAGCGAAAATTAATTAAAGTCTATTTGGTTGGTGGTCATGCGGCTAACAGAAAAAAAAAATAATAAATACATGCTGGCTGGAAACTCGCAATTAATTATTGTTTAATTATAAAATTATTTGACGAAATTAATTAAGAATAAATGTTATTAAAATTATTTAAAAAAAATAAATAAGATAAAGCAGAAAGAATTTTTTTTTTTTCATTGCATTCTTTTGTTAAGCAGTTCCGCTTTTTATCTTACCTATTGGGCTTAATACACCACATCTGTAACAATCTGACCAAGTTTTAATAATTCATAATGAATTATTTCCAAGAAACATTTTCAAAAGCAATGGGGAAGACTTTTGTGTTCAACCACTAAGTTTGTGTACCTCTGATAAGAAAATTTCTCATATTTTCATCTCAGAACAGAATTGCAGAATTGGCAGAATCCGTATAGGAGCAGTGACCTGAAGCAGAACGTCTTATCAAAACCTTACTCCTTAAACATAGCACAGTTAATTTTATACGTAGAATAAGTATTTGTAATTAGTCTTAGGAAGAACGTTAAAGAAACAACTACAGAGTATTGAGGGAATAACTACAATAAAGCAAACACTTTCAAGAATATTTTAATAATAAACCGAAAATGTTGGATTCATTGTTTACCAAACCTAAGGTTCCACAACAGACAACAGAAGAAAATATCCCACAGTGTCCAGAAATCCATCCCTGGCACAAGACATGACGTAGAGGAGTGTTTCTCAAACTTTTTGGTCCGCGCACCCCTTTTGCACTTAAGAAGGACCCCGAAGAAAAGTCATCAATTTATCTGTGACCCCCAAATATTTATCTCGACACCCACTTTGAGAATCACTGCTATAGAGCAAGGGTGGCCAACAAATCGATCACGATGCCTATTTTGGTTGATGAAATAATAATTTTATTTTTTACGTAGGTAGATATATAAACATAATATGTTTTTCACACATTTTCCCCTACTTAGACTACACCTATGACAAGTCGATCGCGATACATTTTTAAGATAAAATTAGATCTTCTGTGCACAAAAGTTTTTCACCCCTGTTATATCTCATACAAACTTCTCTATTTTTTTTCAAAGTCTTTTCAAATGATCTTTCACTGTTGACAGTTGACAGTTGGATCAACAGGGTCTTATGACAACCGGTGATAAACTAGTTTCAAAGTAACGCACTTTTAAAGTAAAACCTCGTTTAGCGCTTTAGATACGTTTCGACAGAGCGCTAAACGAAACAGCGTTATTGTAGGTCATTTTAATACATAGCAAATAGGGAAACGACAACATGCGACCAAAAATAAAGTAAGTTTACTTTAATTTTAAGTTGTATTTATAGTAATTTGCATTATAATATACGTTTTATATTAACACAAACATAAACATTAAGTATATATTTGTGATGACGATCCTGGAACTTTTTCTAATAAAGTTTGAAGCAAGTTCTTTTAGTTCATCGTCTTCAGAATCACTATTTTCGCGTTCTTCAATTTCTTAATCTGCCAGTTCTTGAAGGTTGGTAAAGCCGTTGGTAAAACCCTCAACAGAAACCTCCAGTAACTCCTTAATATCCTGCTCATCTATATCTCAAACAAACATAGTTTCTGGGGAAGCACAGTGCTACGTGTTCGTATTATATGAATCAATGAAATGTGAATCCAGGTAAATTTTTAAACCGCATTATAATAAATCAGCGTTAATCGAAGCAGCACTAACGAGGTCTTAGTGTACATTCCGAAAGAGAGACAATGAGAGTTATCAAAAAAGATATAAAATGAAATAAATTGAAGATTTTTCTATACTTTACAATGTTTCTATTTTAGAAAATGTATGATCCGATATAAACTTACAGCCAATCAATTCTTGAGAAGTAAAAATGATGATGTAGTTCGTATTGATTGGAGATGAATAAAATAGATGGGTTTCAGCAAACAGGAGAGTTGACGATAAGACGATATTGTGTACTTACATATAAGTATAAAGCGTTCGTTTAAAATTCGCCCAATCCGCTTTTCCTAGTATGCATTTTCCGTTTCCCTAACGGCCGGGACGGAAAACAGCTCGGGTTTTCCTGCTCATATTCATTGCATGTAAATACACATACGCATATGAACATAAATATAATGCATCTGCTATAGGCGAAGAGTGTCCATATTTTTTTACTATATTTACCAAATCCTTGCATATGTGTTTATATTTGTGTTTATGCACAAGCGAATCTCGGTATTTATTTACTCTTCTTTATTTTGTATTCGTAGCCCTTTGTGAACATGAGTTTATTACAAAAACGTTTCAAATGCGAAGTTTTATATTTAATTGGAATGTTAAATTATGACTGTGTGATAAAAGAAAGTCTAGCAATAGGACCAGATGTAAAATTACCTCTTTATTTTACTTCAGTTTATTGACTTTGACAATCTATTGCAGGAATACGATAATAGTTAGAATAATTATACGTTGGAAATCCCATTTCATCTTTAAAAGAAGTATTAAATGATAGGTGTCACTTAAGCCAGTTGATAAATATGATAAAAATTAAAAGGTTTTATTATTTTTTGCTTTAAAAATTGTTATTTTTAACTCTGATTATACGATAGCAATAGATATTTAAGAACCTGGAAAAGGGCGCGTCGGAAACTCATAATTGCATCTTTAATTGGAATGTTAAATTATGGACGCGTTACCAAAGAAAGCCAAGCAATAAGCCAAAAGTTAAAAATAGCCTGAAAAATTATTATTTTTTCTTTGACTTAGACGACAGATTGCAGGAAAACAGTAATAAGCGAACTAAAACCACTTTTCTATTTAGTTAACCATAATTTTGCAATTTTCAATAGACTTTCGATATTTTATTATTTTAACTATAGATCGATTTTTATTCCTAAATTGTGTTGTCTCACTTTTGGGAGAGAAAACGTCGGACGTTCTAACTTTTTTAGCAACGTGCACACACATCAGATTCCGGTCGTCTCTCACAGCCGCAACGTGAAATCCATTACAAAATTTAAATCGTGGCGAACAAGTGAATCGCACAAAGAAAGAAAGAAAAAATTGGTACAACGGTGAAGGGACGAAAATCGTGCAGAAAAAAAATGCGACGAGTGGTGAGGAATATAATATGTTTGGAACCGGCAAAAATGGGAACGGTGGTTACGTGCTCGGATTTTCCGAAAAAAAACCGCCTTCCCAAACCAAAAAACCCAACTCCCCCTGAAACTCTCCTCCACCCATCCCTTCGAAAACAAAGTAGTTTTTAAACAACACGCGCGCGCCCTCGTCTGAGCGAAATTTAATTCTGAAAGTCGGGGAAAACGTCCGGCCAGATAGGAAACGAAGATATAAAAAGAGAGAGAAAATGGAAGGATCGGGCGGCGACGGCAACAGCAACAACAACAAGAAGAAAAACAAAAGAGGAAAGCAGACACACGGTGAACATTAAGGGGAGCGAAGAGAAGAACGTTTTAATTCGAGTCGTGATTAAGGTAACTGCTTTGGTAAATTGTATTGTCCTGCGAATTGTATAAATTACTTTATCTTAATTTTATAGAGCGGAGAAACGGTATTCCGAAGTCATTCATTCGATAAGATTTAAATGTTAGTCGCTCATGATTGCTTTTATTCATGTGTTTTATTTATTCGCTGATGCTGAGTTGAAATTTAGCAAAAAATAAAACAAAAGTTTTAAATTCAGAAATTTGTGTTGGTATGATTGGTAATATGCATGTTTATCTGATGACATTTTTGGTACACAATTTTCGTCAATTAAGAAAAAAATTGCTATTTTAAGCTATTTAAATATCATTTATCAAGATGATATAGTTTTACAGTTTAAACCAGTTTTTCACAACTTTTTTTTGTGTTATGCTCCACCTAAATCTTTCTAAAATTCGCATGCCCCCTATGTAACATATACATAATTCGACATACGGTTAAACTCTAGACGAATCTATTTTCGAATTAACAATCAAATTGCCTCCCAGTGAGACGTGGGGCTCACGTTGGAAAATACTGGTTCAAACGAAATTTCTATGGAGATTTTCTACTTATAAGATATTACTTATATAAATTTTAACAAATTATTTATTCGAGGTAAATAACGCTCTATAATGTATGATATATAATGAATCCAATATTAATCAGTAATTGTATATGTGTATGGCGCCATCTATCATCAACTGCAAAAGTTCAATGAAACAAAATGTGGATGCTGATAGCGGACTTTGTTTTAGGACTTCTACGTAATCGATTGCGTTCGCGGTGCGACTTTTCTCTACTAGATGTCTCACGTATTACACAAATTTCATACATTTGTTTAAGAAAACCCCTAAAAATAAATAAAAATTGATGTAAAATGAAAAATGGTCTATCCCATTATAACAAAGTTTAATTAGTTTTTTTCATTATCATGAATTGTTTGGAAATCTGTGGAAGCGTAGCGCGCGCAACGGCGCCGACGTCGACGTTACGAGCGTCGTCGCCCCTAAATATTGCCCCTGTATTTGTGGATGCGTACACAAGTCACTCCGGTCCGCATATCGAATTTCCCGTGATCCGAGAGCATCGCGAGTTTTCCCAAACCCCTCTTTTTTACCCGTTTCCCTTTATTTTTTTTTTAGTTTTCGCCGTATCGCGTGAACGATCTGAAAATCGAGCCCTTAACAAGGGTCCGACAAAGTGGAGACGAACCAAAGCAAAAAAAAAAGTTTGGACAATTTGCCACAATCTGCGGAAAAAGAAAAATGTATTGAAATGGAAACGATGAAAACTTAGCAAATATTATTCGCCGAAGGACAATATGCCATCACAGATTCGTAAGTATATTTATTAAAATTTCTGTTACACTAATTCAACTCTTCTCATGCGAACGATACACTTTAATAGAGAATCCGTGAAAATATATATTGATTATACAATGAAATATTAATTCAGCTGTTAACACGTGAAATATTTTATGTTCCTTTCTCTCATTGTTTCGTAAATCGATACGTAAGAAGTAAAACGACGTCATCGAATCATTTAATTAAGATTAAGAATAATTTCCTTTTTAGTTTTGGCGTTAAATATCCACCCCCGAGCGTTGACGTTTTAAACGTCAAATTTGACATCCCTATCTGATTTATATTATTGCGCTTATTTATACAATTGCGGATGCGCCGGGTGCATAAACAATGCGAAAGTGACAGTGTGCTTCAACTGCAATGTACGCGCGTTACATTATTACATTACATCTTCAGATCGCTTTCACAATTTGGCTACGCTGCATAGAATTTGATGCTATAATATGTACGTTTATAGATAAAGTGTTACAGTGACTTATGTCAAATATTTATTTTATTTTGAGTAAATGAACTAACAAAACATATTGAATTTTCAGTGACATGTGTCAAATATTTAAATTTAGTTTATTTAATGCAGCTTTTGTGTTTGTAACAATGAATTCTGTTAGGCAAAGATCAAAGGAATATCAATTTCAGCAAACATTCACTAGACATTTGTTAGATTATCATGGGAATTTCAAATATCTGAAATTTTTAACATGTTTCTATTTTTGAAACGCACACCAAACGTGACCCAACTATAAACAATGAATTTCGTACATTTTATGCATTTTGACATAATTTTCAATAAATTAAATAAACTGTTATTAAAGTTCCGTATTGTCAAACATTATATTAAACTTGAGTTAATAATAATATTACAAACACAATATTTTATTTTATTTTTTATTATTGTATTGATTTTTTATTATTTTAATAATTCAAAACTAAAACTGTTTCTTTTTAAATTTAAATTTTTGAATTACTATGAGAGATAAAACTAGAATAAATTATTGATATTCCGGATTATTCACAAAATAACTGCGTTTGCTTTTAACGAATTACTGATAGCAGACAATAATACGCTTTGGCTCCTAGATAAGCTTATTAGTAACGATATTTTTACACACAGATAAAAAAAAACTTGCAACACAGATAAACAGTGTGTATACATGATTCAGATCGAAAAGTGTTGGTTCCTCAAACAGTATTTTTTTGGTAAGTTTATAAAAAAAATATTATATTATGTTTAACAAAATATTTGTTTATTGATTATGTCCGAGTCAATTGAAATGATTTCATTGAAAATGGATAATTTTAGTATCTGTATTATTCATGTACTAAATAGTTAATTGAAAATCCAGCTGTAATTAAAATTAAATAAAGAATAGTTCTATGAGGACTGTTTAATTTCTACAAATCATATTGTAAAAATTTGTAAATAATGAATTAACTGTTATATTAACAATTTTTTGTGTAAATTTGGTTGCATACAATAAGTATTGAACCAGATTCTTTTGTGGAGAATGAAACGTGGGGAGAGCGTAAATTTGAATTCAAGGTCTAAAACAATTGAAGTCGTACAAAAAATATTATATTAACTGCAATTTGTTAAATGGGATTTGGATGTACGACTTCTTTTGTCTGTGCTTACACCATATTTCCTACCAAGTTTTGTACAATGTTTATATAATGATGATTGTAATTATAAATATTGATATTGTGTCATGGTTAGATGTTATTAGTACATAGTCTAAATTCCTTGAATCGAACCTGTTTTATATAAAAAAAAAGAAAACTTATAAGTGTTTGTTGTTAAGTAGATAATTGTACTTTGAGTATATTCTATATTCCTTGAAGTATTTTTCTACGTTTGTCGAGTTGTCATCTATGTAGGGGATAGTGAGTGTATTGTGCGCTGCAAACATGAAAAATGATACGCTTGAAAAGTACGTTTTTGCTTGTATCTGAAATTTAGTAATTGATTACACGACGGAATGGAAATACGAGACACGAATGAGTGGAGAGGAAGAGCAGAAAGCGAGTGAAGCGGTAAAGTCCAAACGTTTGCAGTGTGTTTGTGCGCGGAGAGCGCGGTTGCGTAACGAGCCTTATCTAATTATAAACAGAAACGGTAAGATTTCGCACTTTCCTCTGAAACGAAGTGGATGGACTGGATGGAAAATTGGTAATGCAAATAAGCGGCGCGGTGCGCGTTGAGAGGATGCAAGCAGTCGAAACGGGCCCGAAAATTTATTTATTTTACAACGCGAATCCTAATTTTAGTCGCGAGCCGAGCGCGCGACGGATCCGTCGTCGTCCGGTCTCCTTCCCGTTCGTTCGTTCCTCGTTAAATTTGCAAAAGCAAAATTAATTATAATCTAGTTCTCTGTCTGCACCTGTTCCAGATCTCAAAGAGTGACCAAATATTCAAGGACTACCATTTCCTTTTGTTTATTTTCTTTTTTATTCCGCCTTTCCCGTGTGATCCTGCAGGATGGACTGGGCGTACAGCGGTGTCAACACGACGGTACCGCGAAACGCCGGACCGGAATGCGCTGACTACCTGGATCCGACTTGGAGATGGATGGAATCAGTGGTTGTTCTTGCCGGATGCTTTGCAACCTTCTGGTGGTCCTTCCGAAAGATTTCCTTGCCGAGGGCCGCCGATTACGTGCGAACAGATAGAGGCGGTCGAAGGGCGCTCCTCGTTCTCATGTCCCTCATCTGGGGCATGGAAATCGGATACAAATTCTCGTCTAGGACTGTGATATACCTCCTCAATCCCTGTCACGTAACAACGGCTCTGCAGGTAACAATCAATCAACTTTCCTTCATCAAAAACAAACTTAACTTTTGTTCATCCTCTTTCAGATCTACTTGCTGGCTGCATCTCCCAACAAAATGGTAACTGCTGTGTTTAGATTTCATCTGAATCTACTCAACGGTCCGCTTTTGGCCTTTATCTTCCCAGAAACAGACTCTAGAATAGTAAGTAACGCGTGAACTTAATAAAAACTGAAGTATTAATCACATTAACATTTAAAGTAACTAACCTAACCTATCTTTAACTAACCTTACTTAACACCACTTGACGTTAACGCTAAATATTTGTTACGTGATCAAATAACAATTACACTTATTCCCCGATTTACATGGTAGATTGGTTCCTAATAAAAAAGTGTAAATCGAAATTGTAACTTTTTCAACGCAAAACTGTAAATCAAAATGTATAAAAAAAAAACGCATAATTTCGTTGTTTATTAATGATTTCATTTTTTAAGGTACATACATGAAACAAAAATAATGAATGGCAATAAAATGTTCTTTTTGATCACAGCCAGTTTATTTTCAACATTTATTGGTATTTTTTTTAAACCGTGTAAAAGCAAAAACGTTTAAAGACATTACCGTGTAAAACGAGGAATAGGTGTACTAGAGAAATATATCAATTGACCGGTTATAGTATACATGTCAAATTTGATTATTGTATGGAAAATTTTAAAATTTCATATATTTAGTAACAGTTTACATGCAATATCACATTAACACATAATTAACACAAGATTATTTTAACTGAAAACAATGTGATCTAAAATAACTTTACATTTTGTATCGGTCATTTCACTTTATTCCAATTTTGTTATTTCTTATTTGACACTCATACTGTTATATCAAATTAGTTATGAATTAATTTAGGATAAAATAATTTATTATTATTACCTATAAAAATCTCTATGGAATTACGAAATCACTTGCAAAATTATAATGAATATTTTTAATCATATTAATGGCTAAACTATAATCGATTAATTTACCAGATTAATTAATTACATTAGCAACCCAAACCTAGCCTAATTTGAGTTAACTGAATATTCTATTTGAATTTGATTTACAAGTATAAATATTATTTCGTTACTTTTATTTTCTGCGATTGTTTATATTTTTAGCTCCCATTGGAAGCTGCAATTTATTGGGTGCAGCACGGGATGATGTTCGTTGTGCCTTATTATCTTCTACGACTTGGCGGTAATTCAATTTAAATCGCAATCAGCTGTTTCCATCTATTGATTAATCCGTGTTACATCAATTTCGTAGGTGTCTACAACGTCGAGGAATTCTCGGACATAAGTTGGAACGCCCTCAGTTATAGTATTAACATTATATACCATTACGCAATCCTGCAGACAATCGCCATAGTAAGTAAACAATAGTAATACTATAGTATTTATATTTCATGAAATATTTTAACTGTCACTAAATCTAACCTACATATGCAAGATTATTGACAACAATCAGTGACAGATATGTCACTTGTCACCTAAATCTAACCTACATATGCACGATAATTGATAGATATCAGTGATAGATATGACAGTTGTTAGTAATTTGTTTCTGCGTTTTGTTACAGCCAACCCAGGTGAATCTGAATCACATGATCTGCCCTGCTATCCTGGATCCGTTCGGCGGTCCCTACTACAGGATAGCAGCGGTCGTGCATCAGGCCATCCTCTGCCCGTTGATGTGCAAACTGTTCTGTTCAGTCAGTGCGTTTTTCTTAACGAAGTTTTGGCCTACGAAGGTGAAAAGGACTTTGTGCTGCGAAGTTGCCGCCCCCAACAGCAACGGCGACATGACGGATTCGAACGGCCGACGTCAACACTCGGACTAATCCCAAGACCGACGAAATAAAAAAAACTGAAGACGTAATATATGTCTCGCGATTTGTGACTCGATGAAAAGCATAAATTAATTATTGCAATACATGAGGTTGTGCCGGAAAATTAATTAAATCGATTCCATTCAGTAATAATTAAGTCCAGTTTTAAAAAAAATATATAAAGAACAAGTTGAGATCTATTAAATAATTAATAATAACATGAGAAAACTAAAGTAGTTTTTAGAAAGCCATTTTTACAAACAAACTAAAATTCAATTCAGCGTATAGCGGGATGCTTCGAACGAAACCGAAGGAATCCTCGACATAAAAACGAAATTGATTCATCCCGTATATTCGGCTAGCTAGATTACTCCCAGTTAAATAAAATTTAGCAATCTGTAAATAGGATTAAACACTATTTTAAATAAGCATAGGAAACTGTTACTAACATTAACAATACATTTAGCGTCTTTGTTAACCCAAGACAAGTATGTAAGCAAAACATGATTCGATCCTGTTTCTTCTATTTTTAGTTTGTTTATCAAATTATTTCATTTTTTAGTTTGTTACCGAACATTCCTTTTTAATTTATAGTTTATAATCTGATCTATTTTCATCTGTACGTTATTGACTTTGTGACGTTGATTCAATGAAATTAACTTTTACACAATAAAAACACGCAGTTTTATCGTTTATTTATGTTTTCGTCTTTTATTAAAATTTTTATGAAATTTTTCAGTTTTTATTGAAAATTTGATTTGATTTTTAACCTTTAACTTCTAGATTTACATCCTAACCTATAAAATAAATTCTGACAAGTCTGGACACAGAAATTACCTAACCTAAACTTGAACAACAATTCTAATTTCACAGTCAAATAAAATAGTGGAATCGCAGAGCATAAATATACTACTGAAGTTACCCTACCTACCCTACCCTATAATGGTAACTATCCACCGGGAAAGATTATCCATTTAATGTCAACCGCGATCTTAATTTATTCAATGTTCACATTGATGAACAAATTGTGAATAAAATTATACGACATACAAAAAATAATTAGTGTGGTTCCACTGCGAAATAAAAAGTTTGGAAATAAATATTCTTTATTTGAAGGGTTAACCTAAAAAATTTCTAACCTACCAAATTTTAAATAACAAATTAACAGGAAAATGTGATTTCAGGTAAGTAGTATGATAAGAAAAACTGCATTTGTTCTCGATTTGTTTATATATTTATACTTTTTTTTTCTGTAAATTTTGATTTTCATCATTATTGTTATTCATATAATCATTTTATTGTGTGTATGTGTAATTCATTTTTTTTTTCTCCTTTTCTCTCTTACATTGTTTCAAAAAGAACTCATTTCAAACTAGAAAACAACGGGGAAATTTGCCTACAACTTTTTTAAAAATTCTCTCTGTTCACTCTCTCTATCTCTCTCGTCACGCGCACACTACAAGTGAATAACAATAAAAAGAATGAAATGAAAAACACTCGCACGGCACTAAACAAAAGGAAGAAAGAGAGAGAGAGAGAGAGAAGAGCGCACATAAATGAGACAAGCTCATCCTACAACTAATCTTCCCCTAATTTATTCATTTCTCTCTTAAATCTTTCCATCTTGAAACATCTCTTCAAAGATTAAATTAAAAAAATAAAATAAAACACAAATGGAAAAAAAAATAATAGTAATACATGTTATACATAATATATATATATATATATAATTTTATATAAAATAAATAACAATTCTTGAAAATATTTAAAGGGAAATAACAAAGAAATAAATAAATTAATCAGTTATTATCGAACGATTCATAAATCTTAAAGTAGTAAGTAATAGTAACTCATAGCTCATCTATAAAACAAATGAGGAAGAAGAGTTTTTCGTTTCTTATATCATTTAATGTTTGTTTCTTTTTCATTTCTTTTCTTTTTATTTAATATAAAATTAATCGTACTAACTTTTTACAATTTTTTTTTCTTTCAAAAAACCTGCGATTGCTTCTTCGATAAAGCCGTTTCCTTATAATTTATTTGTTTATTAAATTTCTCTTTCTTAACAATTAGGGATTACTTCTGTCGTGTCGTCCGAGAAAATTGAGCAAAAACCGAAATTAAACGTTCCGGATGAAACACGCGAAGACAAAATAATATAATAATTATTTGCTCTGGTTTTGTGCGGATACGTTTAACTGTTTTTGCCCGACAAAGGGGATTTTCCCGGAAGGAAGTAATTTCATTTAGAATTTGCTTTTACCATTCAATGTTTCATTATTTTTTACAAATACTTATGCTTATATTTATCGTTAAATATTTACTTATTTATTGTATAGAAAGCATCTTCAAAAATACCTTTCTCTCTTAATTTCTCTACCAAATTTCTTTTTCATTCTCACATATCACTACGCACACTCCATCGCTTTTTCGCAGTTATGCTAAAATTCGCTTATTACTTTTCTCTCTTAAGTGTATAAAAAAATATTAGGCCAGAGTATACAATTCATTGATTTTGTTTCCCTTCTCGTCTCCACTCTTTTTTTTATTCAAAATACATAAATTGATTTTCTTTTCTTTTTGGAATGTTTTCAATTATTTTTTTTTAAATTCTCCTTATTTTATTTAAGTGTTTTTTTTTAATATTATTACTTAATCAAGGGGTTTTGAGGGTTTCGGGGTCTAGGAATGCCTTTTTGGTCCTCTCTAAGAGCTAAATCTTCAGTATTTTTTGTTTGTTTCTTGTGGCCTCTCAGGATTCTAGCAGATAGTTAAGTAATAAAGTGGCGACTAGGGTTGTCGCGCATTCTATTAATGTCGGACAAAGATAATTCCTCCTATGCTAGGTCTGATCATCCGCTTCCGGCGGATGCGGCTGCTGCTGCTGCTGGCACTCCTGGCTACCACAGTTCCAGGATAATCGCTTGTGAATACTAGAGTCCTTCTCGTTACTCTTCTGCAACAACCAACAACAACAAAAAAACAAAATATTGACTTTTTATGATGTAATTTGAAGACAAACCTTTATGTCATCGACTGCGCCAGCCGTGTGATATCTTTTGTTGTCGTTCCGATGAAAACGCTTGGTAAGTGCCTGTCGGTGTTGCCCTCTGCAGAAGTTCTCCAACGGCTCCAAAGAAGGGCTACTACCAGCTAGAAAACGTAATATCGAAATCAGTTATATTTTTCTATACCCGTCCATACGCTAATAAAGGGGTAGAAGAAACAAAAAACGGAAAGAAATAAATCAAGAAAACAATGTGCGCCATGAAACATTCATTGAATAAAAACAACAATAAAAAAAGTATATATGAGAAGACTAAGGTCAAAAGCAAAAGAAAATCAACATTGAAGTACGAAAATCGAACGAAAAATGTTACATTTAAAAATAATTAATACTTGCTGTCTATAAGCATTAAATGGTTCAATTCTTATATACGCACCGATCAGTTTCTTATTTTAGCATATGAAACAGATTCTGTTTTTCGACTTAGTTTTATACTATGTTAATTTAGAGGTTAGGTTTCTCATAGGTTAAGTGGTATTCTAATTGTTTTTACATTGTTTTCTATCAGGCTATATTAAATTAGGTTATATCTGGTTAAATTACTATTCTTATAGGTTACAATAGTTTAGGATTATATTTGTAGAAGATTTTCATAGAAATTAGGTGAATGATTATGTTGGATTTATGTGTTTCTAGTAGGTTATGCAAGGAAAGATTACATTTATTAATAATTTTAATGAACTTAAGCGGATTATGACTTTTGATGCGTATTTAAGAATTTAACCAATTAAGTTTCTATTTTTTATTGTCTACAAGTGATATATTATTTAAAATTTAATCGCAGATTATGCAAAGATTTATTATTTTATGAATGAATGTTATTTATTGCGAAACACTTAAAAAGTACATCAACTTTGCAAGAATCTGAGATTAAGTTAACTATTGTTCGTCTCTGTTCATATGCAGGATTACAAATTAGTCAGAGTTTTGCTCACCAAGGAATCAAATTGCGAGTCTTCTTCGCTTGGGCTTAAACTTTATTATTTATATCTCTTTAAATTTATATCAATTATTACTTGTTACTTTTTGTTTATGTTTGTTTTACGTTTTTTTTTTTGCATATAAGGCACGACTTTTTTTGTTCGATCGTTTTTTTTTATTTGAAAGAGACCCAAAAGTCACAAAAGTTGAATGAAGTTAAGAAAACTCAAGGACGCTCTCTCCATCATTCTATTTCTGTTTATCTCCGTCTGTTTGCACAAAAGACAAAATGTAGCGCGAACGCCATTTTGCAGTCGCAATTTATGTCGTCTCGCAGTTTTCTTCTTCTACGAACGCGCAACGAAATGTGGGAGGAGATGGCGGGCAACGAAAAAAGAGAAAAAGAAAGAAATAGTCACAAAAGAGCATCCCTTTTTGTCAATGTTTATGTGTGAGTGTCTGTGAGTGCCGAGAGTTTCGAATCGAATCCTATCACATGAAATGCAACCAATATTGCGCTTTTTGAATTGTCAATGAACCAATTCTGATATTCCAATCTTTTCATTTCCCATTGGAATATGTCATCAAATAATTAAAGAAGGTAATATTATTGTACTGCATAGCGTTAACGGACAATGAAAAGATTATAATTAGCACATTGACAGTTGGATATCATTTGGTAAGATTACGGAGATTGTATGGTCCGATTCGTAACTTCAGACGGTGTCATTTTCCAGCCGTCTTTGGCACATGCTTCTTCCTAATTGTTACCTGCGATTATGGGAACGTCAAAGTCGAAGCTGGCAGGTATCGCGCCACCCGTGGCGCCCGTTGACATCACGTGGCGCGTTTTAATTAGGGGCGGGTTCTTACTTTGGCTGATGGCCAATCCGCGTCGAAGATTGCCTCTGGTCGGCGAAGGTGGAGGATAGCTGATGCCTCGATGGGTGGGGCTCAGCAGGTGGCCGTTCTTGCTGGTGCTGGGCACAGAGAGGGTGTTATGGTGGTTCAAGCTGAGGCTGAGGGTGCCGACGTTGGGTGAACCCAAGGACAGGTTGGGCAGACTTTGACCAAGGCCGTGGGTGCACGGTTGCACGGACAACGTGTTCGGAGTTTTATTGAATAGCCGGTGCTTAAAAGAGTTCTTCTGCGAGACGGGCGATTTGTCAGGTGGAAGTGGCTGCACCCCCTCGTCGCTCGATATCGAAGCCGTCCTATTGTCGTTCTCCATGGATACCGCACGGGAAGCGTCCTTCGCCGATCCAATTGACGATTGGTCGTTCATCTCAACGGAACCACTAAATAAATGCCATTGCAAAAAGTAATCTACCAATTTGCCTATATTATGAAGAAGTTACCTGTGGCTATGTGCAAGACTGGAGACTCGACTCGCTCTCGAAGATGATGCCAACGGTGACCTTGGCGCCAACTGAAGACAATGCAAGTCATTATCGGTGGAATATTCGAAGCTGTACTCGGTATCCAAACTCTCTTCATTCAGGTAACTCTGCTTGGCCTGGTAATACAAGCTTTGCGCTTTGGCAATACAATCCTTCCAACTCTGCAAAGTTAAAAATGGTCAGTTCAAATATACGATACTATAAAACTGGAATTGCCCCAGGGAAGCGTTCTTGGTCCCATATCAATTAAATTTGACACTTTTCAAACCATTTACCTTTAGTTTCTTCGGGTCGTTATTCTGCAGGAGAAATGCGGCAACAGCCATATCAAACTCGTTCTTGTAAACACAGGCCAATGTCGGTGTTTCCTTATTGATCTCCATGACAACCAATCTATCTACCAAGTAGGGTTGCCTTACAACGCGCACCGTTCCGCCCTTCTTTGTCGACGACTTGCATACTAGCAGCATATCAGTCAGTAAGAAACAGTGCACTTCCATCTGCAACAATAAAAAACAAACATATTAACATTTAAAAATAGAAAGTTAAAAAAAGAATGTGCGTACTTTGGAAGTGCTGTTATCTTTGAGCTTCAAATCTCCCTCAAGCAGCAGATGCCGCCTCCTCTCCGGCGGACAATTCAACATCGGCTTATTCAAATCCAGCTGATTATGTGACTTTAGCAATCTCTCCAGGTCATCGTCTTTGCTTTCCTATAATTAGTTTATATTAATTAAGGTGTCTACTAGTTAAATAAATACCTTTCATAATAAAATAAAGTTAGATTTTGCATGACATAATAAGTTAGGTTAGTTTTTTGTCAATATGAATCAGGTTAAGTAAAGTATAGGTTAGGTTAAAAAATATAAGTTATGATTAATTCTTACCACGATGTCGTAACTTTCGATTCTTGCAATTATGCCTTTCAGTCGTTCGTTGTCCTGCTTCTGCTTCAAGCTGAAATTCACGTTGATCACGAAATCGTCGACAGATCTGATCTAAAATGAGCGAGACAAAGAATTAATAATTGAAACAGAGATCGATGATGAGCTATGTACCATCAGTCCAAGATTCTCGCGTTCCAACTCATCATCCGTGTTCTTCAGAATAGCTTTCAGCAACAGACCGTATTTCGTAAGCCTCTGCATCGGCTGCACGAGGATGTCCAGCAACCTCAGCCGATTGCACTCTTTCTGCGCCTCGCACCAGGCGAGGTACGCCGTGAAAAGTTCGTTGTGAGAGAGGTTCTCACGCACGTAATGCTGGCACCTAGATTGCTCCCCGCAAAATTGGTAGTAAGCTTGAAAACTATCCTTGATCTTCAGGAAACCTTCGCACATGGTTTCGATGCACGCCGGCTGCTTATAATTCCTCATGTCTCTCACCAACGGGAAAAGACTACTTCCCCAGAACTGCACGTTAGCATCCAAGATGTCTCCAATGTTCGAGAAGAGCTTAGCGGTATCGATTTCCCTCAGAATGTTCGACGATTGTAGGCTTTGCAAACACGCCAGAAACAACTGAAAACATCAAATATTTTACTTCATTTTTTAACAAATTGCTGCTTCTCCTTACATCAGTGACGACCTTCAGTGTCTTGATGTATGCCACCTCCGTTTTTATGAGTTCCCAGAGCGCCGTTTGCTGCTTCTGCTGTCTTTCGCTTAATTCTGAATAATATATATAATTATTTGCACATAAATGAATTTTCGGATTTAGGATTCTCTTACCGCTAACATCGATGATATGTCTCCAGTCATCCTCGAGCTTGTAGAGCGCATCCGTCGCCTCGCTCTGCCCTTGTGGATACGCCTGGGAGTTGGGTACTCCGACCTTGCTGTAGTTATGCAATTGCTCGATTAGCTGCTCCATTATCTGCTTCGTATCCTTCAGAAAAAGATGATCAATATGCTATTTGATGTAAATTTGTTTCACTCACTTTGCTGTTTCCGAAAAGGCTAGACCAACGCTGCTTGCCCTTTTTCGTGTCCACGTCTTGGAAGCACGACGCATCCTCCGTGCTCGAACTGAAGAAACTCGTACCTTTAGGTCTTGTATTCTGTGAATGCATTAAATAAATCAAATCATAATAATAATAATATTTATTGTAACAATAAAATAAATTTTTAATACAATAATAAAAATAAAATAAAAACTCCACTGTTGCAAAGGTCATTCTGACCCATTACTTTTTTTTAACATTTACCAACTAGTAGTTGATAATAATAGCACAGAGATGACAATTAATTTCAGGATCTCCTTACATAATATGTGCAACTATATTTAGTTTTCTTCTGGTTAATTGTGCGCAAGCTAATTAGTTATCCGAGTTGTACTCACTCTACATATACACTGCACGTTAATTGATAAGTTATTTAATATCATTAATAAAAACAATCAGATTAAAACGTATTCGGTTTGACGATGTGTGTACTTAGTTGCATACAAACTAGAATTAATGTTAAATTTATATGAAAATAACACTAACCCAGAATGCTTTTTTCCGGAATAAATATAAAGCAATTTTCAAGCTACGTGATTTTTGTATTCGTTTTTATTGAAATACAATGAATTTACGCAAGTATATTTGAAACTAATACGATTTAATATTGCGGCGAGCATTCACTATATCGAATAAATGCATAATAAATCAGATAAGCATTGCAGATTTCCTGAATGAGAAAATTCGGTATTGCGAAGACGTTCATTCATTTGCAAAATATTTCAGGACTACAGATTACTGTGCATTGGAATCATTGATGCGGTATTTGGATGCTTTTTCTTTTTTCGAGCACTCACCGCAGACAGCTTCCTGGAGTGCTGCCCTTGCAAAGATCCGAATTTGATCCTGGAGGTGGCGCCATCTCTGTGCACAATCCGCACGTGCTTGCCGACCAAGCACGCCGTGTCCTGTGTGAGGGCGAGCAAGGATTGCGATCCGGAGTCCTTGTCTATTAGCCAGGCCTCGCAGCAGGACAGATCTATGCTTCGGCCTTCGCACAGCTTCGACAAGGAATCGCTGTAAAACATAGATATATACATGAATAACAAAAGAAGACGACAATAAAGTATAAGAAATGAAAAATCGAGACTCGAGAAGTGGATGGAATAAGTAAAAAAAGCGAAGCAGATCACGCAGACGAAGCACATTAAATCGCTGCCTCGAATGCCGGATTATTACCCGTTGTTGCCGGGATGGATAAAATGCGGGATCGTCGAAAGCTCTCCCAACAATTCCCTCACAAAGAAGCTTAACTATAATCTTATAAAAAAAATACAAGAAATATATTTGTATGATTATTTCTGTTTTTGTGCTGAAATAAAACGAAGCAATTTCTATCTAAAGCTAACTGAACATTATCCCGTTTTATGACAACTATACGTGTACATTAAGTTGCATAATAAACGTTGTTTAACATAATATGCTCATTGCACAATGACTGCATCACAAAATCTGATACGAACTCACCATCGAATTTCAGATCAAATAAAAACAATTGGGTCGTAATTACAATACATTCATTCATTTAAAAAATATGTCTTTATTTCGGCATATATATTAACAATTGGGAGAATTTCTTCTGAAGAAACTTAGAAAATTAGAACAACAGAGATCACTTTAAGTAATGCAATGGAGTCGTTTGATCTGGAAACTTCTTCACGTAATTCTAGCTCGTTTGATGATAGACGATCATCGCTTAGGATGGAAACTTTTTCGATTGAAATCGCAAATTGATGTATCCTCACAAGTTAATAAAACGAAGGATAGAAAGTGTATGTGTGTATGTGTACGTGGGTATCTGTGTGCAAGAAAGACGTTGGGGATGAGTGGCGAATCGATCAGCTGGCAATCAATGGGAGATTTCCCTCGTACTTATCGCACAAACTCAATAACCACCGACTCCACTTAGTTCATAGAACAAGAAAACGTCAGAGGTGAAAAAATGAAATAGCCTACTGGACTTTTTTTACTCAAATCCTCTTTGCATTTTTTTTTGCTTGCTTTTAGAGTGTTCAATCATAATCGATTGGATGAACTGGAATAAACGATGTATGCATAACTGCTTACATCTGTGTGCACAAAAAAAAACGAACTAATATGCGCACTACAAACAAATATGGAGAAACTTTTGAAAATCAATATTTTAGCAACTTAATTTGCTTTAAATAAACGTTTTATTCTTAATTTTTATAACTTAAATTGATAAAAATAACTTCATGAATATTTATGGCTTTATCTGAAATTATTATTCTTGCAGACACTATACTTTAAAAAGAGTCGAAAAAGAATTTTAATGAATAATGAAACGTTTATAATTTATAATTTTACTTCCTAAAATTAACAAAACAATGGATCGTATACTTCATAAACTGATGTGTACTTACTACAAGGTGATACCTCTGCAGGCCGGGTAAAGTTCGAGCTCATCTGTAGAATCTTCGCCAACGTCGAAAGTCACACTATAACATTCGCTGCTTGATTTCTGAAAACAAACGAAATCTATTATTAAAAAAATCTTCATTTTTTTTTGTATAAAATACTATCATCAATATTTAATATCTATGATCATCATTTATATTTTTTTTTGTAATGATAACAAATCTCTTGTTTCACACATTTAGTACTTATAGAGGATCACATTATGTAGAAAAAAAATCTTCTAACTAAACATAATGCAATACTTCCATCATTTATACAAATAGTCACAAGTTGAATAATTTTCAAAAGGTATTCCATTAAACATCGACTATTATGTAATTAATATAACATAAATAATCAATGTGTAGCAGTTTTTTTATCCTATATTGATCCGATGATTTAGTTTTTGATTCGGTTTAAATAAAAAGTATTACATAAGTAGCCAAAACAATGCATTTGCATATTCGATTTGATTAACTGTTTTAATATTATTTAATGTTAATCTATAAATAAATTTATAAAAAAAAACTTATGTAACCAGTACAACGTATTTGCATGTTCAGTGGTTGCGCGGCGGTGAGTACATCTGATTGCCTAAAATAAGTTCGTGGAAATGCTATAACCGTGTTTGATCCAAGGCGACACGAAAATTCACGTTCGAAGGGTGGGCAGCACCAAATTCAACACAACAACGGGCACTGCGAGAGAGAGAGAGTGAAATAAAAGAAAAAACAGATTTTCATCGTTTTACGAACTCTGCTCACGCGATAACCTATTTATCGGATTAAAGATGATATGGATTAAGCAGACGTAGACCGAAGAAAAAAAAATGGTTGAAAAAAAAGAATGAACTAAACTGAAAGTAAAAATACATTTAGGAAAAGAAGAAGAAGTGGTATAGAAAAGAATAACGTTTAGTGTGACGTTGTTTAACCTTAACCGTGTTTGAAACACGCGTCCCGGTTGCTATGGCGACGATTGTAATCAAGCGAAAAGTTATTTGAATAATCCGCAATGATTAATGTTTATTCTGCGTATTTCCCCCCTCTCTATATATTTACATTTTCGTTTAATCAGTCTTGAAAATTGATAAAGTCTCTATTAAAGTTATTATTTGAATATAATGTAAAGTGTCATAAAAGTAACGTTGCCATTTGAACATAAAATAACTTTTAAAAGAAAATGTAAAGAAGATTATTATTTAGATTTCCCACATACTGAAAATAAATATTTTTTTTAAATTAATGTAAGAAAAATTGGAGAATTAGCTGTATTCTTCCTCGATTTATACTGAACTTTCTGTACACGTTTTCGTTGTTACACGGTTAAAAAATTAAATGTTGAAAATAAACAGACTATGATAAAAAGGAACTATTTGTTTGCCTTTCAATATTTTTTTTTGATTCATAATTAATAAACAACGAAATTATGCGTTTTTTCCATACTTTTCGAATTACACAGTTTTACATTCAAAAAGTTACACGTTTTTCTTAGGTACCTATGATAGGTACAATGACAAATTTTTGAAACGTTCCATGATGAAATTGAACAAAACTCGACTGTCATTTAAAATTGATATGATGGTTAATAAACGAAATATAAACGTTAACAGTTTTTGCATTATTTTTGCAGTTTTCTACGGTCACGTTTGGTAAATGTTATTTTTGTAATAACTTTTTGATTAAGTGGAGGCGCTGGAAGCATAAACATGTAGTCTATCCTTTCGGAGGTTAATAAATAATTCCAAAGAGTGAGTAGGAAGGGGAGGATAGGTGCGAGGGTTGGATCGCGGAATATTCAGCATCGATTCCGTTCAGAATTCTTAATTATGTGTCGGCCGTACGAGCGCGCAAAGTCATCATTTATTATCAGTTCGTATGGTTCGATCGTTCCGTGGAAGAACCGGAATTGCGCCCATCCCATCCCATCCATCCACCCAACAACCCTCAAATAACCCCACCCCTCTCAATCCAGCCCACCAATATGAATTCAACCAAAAAGGACGTAGGTTCGTCGATTTGGGTAGAGGGGAAAGGGAGCAAATAGTCCCGGCACCTCCACCCACGATTCCTGATGCGTGACCAACGTATCTTCGTTGCACGATCGGAATTTTTCATCCTATCACATCGCCCCAACCCTTCCCAAAAACCGTAAACATCAGGATGGATTCGACATTCGAATTGCTGCGTAATTAAAATAGTTGCTTTAGTGGATGAAAAGCTGCCCCATCCACCCTCAAAAGCCAATCCTCCTTTGCAAGCCTCAAACACGCATCGCAAACTGATTTTATATAGATTTATTTATATAACAAGCAAAAGAGATATAGCCTTTGTGTCGCGTAGAAATACTACGAATGGCCATTCCTTTCTATTCTTCCTCCTTCAACATCCTTCATCTTTCTTTTTTGAAACGCGTTTCCCTCAACAATATCCCTAAGTGCTTTTTTTCTTTCCTTTTGCTCCTTCGTCGTCTCCAAACATCCAGCATCCTGCAGCGAGGCGCGGCTCAGCAATATACCTTTTATTATTTTTTACGGCGCCCCGTAACCCCCATAAAACCCGTCCCCGCGTTTAATTTATCTATACATGGTAATGCACACCCTCACCCCTCCAACCTATCCAGCCATTCATACACCATCATCTACCCCCAACCCATCACGCATTACAATCATTATTACACAAAGGCGAGGGCTGGTAGCGGCGGATTCGCGACCTTAGACCTCACTCTATCTCTTTCTTTCCTCGACGAGGTTATGCAACCAGACTTGCGCGTTTAATTAAATTCTCGCTAATCCAAGTAAACTGAATTACGTGTATCCTAATTGGAATCCGTTGATTATGAACGCCTCCTTTGCCCGCCAGACACCTTTTGTTATTGCAACTATTCGCTAATTATAAATTGACAGATGTCACATCAAAGCGAATTCGGCTCGGATTCAGGGAAAATTCAACCATAGCTTTCAATAAATTAATACAGTTGAGAACGCAATACACTGAATTTGCTAAAGACAATTTATGATTTCATAACTTAAACCTAATAATCTATCAAATTTCAAGACTCAATCAACAATAACTTGTTAACCCTTTGACATACGACTAAAAGAAAAGTTATCTAATGAAAAAAATACGTTGATTTGTAGAGTTCCTTTAGCATTGAATTGATTTATTATTAATCACTAAAAGTCTACTACAGATTTAAAATTTTACTAGTTAATATTTTTACAGTGTAATTAATTGAAAATTCTAAAAAAACTTTAGACATTGTATGTCAAAGGGATAATTGTCAACATTAAATTTAAATTAAAAAAATAAATAAAAGTTACAAAAAAGTTAATACTTAAAGCATATTAACCTATCATTTTTCTTAATGCAAGTTAGAACAATAACACAACCTAACAAAATATGAAATAAATTTATTTCTTAAATATTAAAAGAAAGCAAAATATATTTCTTACCTTGAAATTATAGCGGTAAATCAATTTATTCGGGATAGACTTAACTTCTCCGCGCCGACCCGAGACCATATTACAGCATCTCCATGACAACGGCACATAGTTTGAATGTCAAATAAATGCGTGTTTCGCAACTCGGTTTCGATGCGATTAAAGTAAGTGCTCGCGAAATCCACGCAAAACGTATCTTTGAATTCTCTTCGCAATTTGCTGTGTTTTAACAGATGCAGACGCACTCGAATTGTGAAATGAATATCACATAAATGCTTTCTCAATTGCACTACGGACAATAGAAAAATGGAAATGATTTCATTTCATATCATATACAAGCATATGAGTTCATAATCAACAATCCCTAATTTGCGTTAGTTGGATTATCAATTAGCTTGAATTTAATTACGGCGTGTGCTTTGATAGTAATATTACATCGCAAATTTGGATGTTTTAATAATTAAAAAATAATAATCGAACGCAATAAAAATGAGTAAAATGAGATCCCCCAGGAATCCAATGTGGCAATGAAACGTCAGAAAATGTTTTTTTTTTTGTATTTCTTTACATTTCGGCTACGCAACGGCATAAAGTTAACTCCATCACTCAAACGTCGCAGGCATTGTAGTCACAGTCGACTTAAAGCTCGGTAGAATTGAAAAAGCGTTCGTACTCGAACTGAAAATGAGTATAATGCATCGCCACAATAAAAACACGTCAACTCCATCTCTTTACCGTCGTATATTCAATATAAAAAAAAGTTCAATTCGTTGCATATATTTTTATTTGTTATATCAATAAATGGTGTTAAACGACAAATATTTTTAAATTTCGCAATTTCGATTAGCAATTGAATATAGGTACTCTTCACTTTACAACTGACTTCCCTTCCGACAACTACGTCGTGAAGCCAAGGAGCTTGCACCGAGAATATAGGAGCATTGTAAAATTATGAAAGTTATGCAACAAACTTCAAATTTATTCATATTACAAGTCGGAACTCGATTGATTGTAAATGAAAGTAATATTCCTTATGGTTTGAAATTCTAACAAAACGATCTCGTTAATTAATTGATGATAGATGGCGCTATTCTTACTTTATTAACATATTTGCTTCAGTAAATATTCCAAATTTAACACGTTGACGACGAAATGACCCACCGGTGGGTCATAAATTATGTATTTTAATAGTTTTGTCGCTATGTACGCCACTGATTTTGACTGAGTATAACCTTAAATATCTTACGTCAATTACAAGCTTAAACGCCAATATCTTATATATGTTTTAATAATTCCTGAAGCAATTTAGAATACAAAAAATCGTGATATTGTGACAAAATTCATGATTTCTTTAAAAAATAATTTTCGAGACATATTTCTCACAATTGTTATAATTGTTAAAAAATATTCAAAAATGTATAAGAAAAGTTTAAGTTTGTAATTGACTTAAGATATTTGACTTTTAAGAAAGGTTTTGGTCGTTCGTTAGGTTATTGGTACAAATCAGGACTAATAAAAATTACTCATCTGTCCGAAAAGAAGAGTCCCATTTTAATTTAACAATGTTATTCGAGACTTGCTAGCGATTGAAGGATAATAAAAACAAACAAAATAAAAATATTACTGACTATTCAATGCAAAAAAACTTAATTACTTACAAAATTATTTAATTTGACAAAATATTGCCATTGTTTCTTATGAACATTTTAAAGATATTAGCATGTTGGATTCTTTTCTTAGTTTTTATATGTTTATCAAAGAAGACTTGATCTTATTTTATATTTTTCTAATCGTAATAAATTTACAAAAAAAAAAAATTTTTCAAAAGAACTCTTATAAAAAAATTCTTGGAATTGTCCTTTGACAAAATACCTAACAGTTCCAATACGTTTTACCTGACAAGTTATTGTTTATTGACTTTTATTGACGTAAATTAGATCTTCAACTTTCTTAAATTTCTAAAATTCTAAAGTTCTTTTTTAATTATTATTATGTCAATATTTCAAGATAAGTTTTTTTTATGACGTGTTTTTGCATGCTATTGGGGTGAAAGGTTGCCCCCACAATAATCAAGTGTCAAATTTTCTGCGCCGACGTGACTTGTAATATTAGATTTTTTTCTTTCCTCCTCATCTTTTCGCCTGTCACTATTGTGGAAACGTGCATGCACATCGCTGGCTGCGTTCTTCGGCTTCTTGGGATCCCAGAGACGGCGACTGGTAATAGGATTTGGGTTTCGAAGATCCACCAGCAGTGCATATAAAACGTGTATGTATATATATATGTGTTTGCAGACATACATATACATTGAGAGAGAGAGAGAGAGGAGTGGAGAGATATCGTCGCCGGGGGGAATTGAATCGATTAAACGTCTAGTCGGCGTAAAAACCGCCGCTACCGCCGCTACCGCCTCTCCTATCGCATTCTCTTCCCCCTCGACATCCCACTTCGCACGCTAATTTTATGACTCACCTGTGATCTGGTGAGCATATGCCGCCTCTGGGGAGGCTCCGGCCTCGACGGGGAAGGTGTATCCGAACCCGGGGACGGAGGCACCAGTAGCGGCCTGGTGCAATCCGGCTCCGATCGGGCGTCCTTCAGGTGAGATCCATCCGAAGGTGCCGCTCCTCCACTAGGTCGCATGTTCAATGTGTCCAGGTGATTCAAACTCCTTGATCGCACCTGAAACAATAAAAAAAAACACAACAACATAAATAAGCTATCATCAATTGAATCAAACTTCAAAACAACACCACTTTGAACATTTCCACTTCACAAATCGATTCAAACTACTAAAAATAACATTGACTTAAAGAAAACAATCGATCAAAAATCACTTTTAAATTTATGCAAAAGTTTTGAAACGTTTCTCTCTAAATTACATTGAAAATGAATACTCTAAGTAAAACAAAAACGATTTTCTATAGAATCACTAATAATTCACAACACCTGACAAAAGATAAGTTGAGATTGAAGTATCCACGAAACACGAAAAAAATATAACAGCACTCAACTATTTGGAAAAGTAAGTTTTTTTTTGGATCAAATTGAAATTAATAATTTAAAATGAAGCAATTTTCATACAAGACTTTCTCTATATAACTAAACAGTAATTATTACCACCGAGAACATTAACGTTAACAAATGAGACCTAATTTGCAAGCGAAAAGATCTTTTGATTCCATTAAGGAAATTAATGTTATGGAATAATTGGAAACATTGTTAAATTTAACTTCAAGTTTAATAAAACAATCGAAAATTTCAAAGCGGATACGCCGAGCTTCTGTTCGGCTTTTATACAAATCGCTCCAATTGTTTCTTTCGCCTTTTGTTTCGTTATAATCATATTATGTTTCTCGTAATGTAAATGCATTTTAATTGTTAACCAATATTAATTAATATTAATTCTAGGAACAAAATTTATTTGGATTAAATTACTTAGTCTAATATAAAAAGTTACATTGTGTTTAGGGACTTTTATTATTAACTCACTTGCGGATGCGCAAGGTTTATTTTCAGATTGTTTCGGCTTTTGTTTTATTTTATTCATGTTTTGTTTGTGATCAAATAAACGAATTTGAATTGCGAATAAAATAAATCTTCAACATTCTTTAATAAAATATGATGAAAGTTTCAACTGTCCTTTTGTAGCAAGATTTCGACGATCGTAAAATTATTAATTGAATCGCGTGTGCGGAAGCCCCAAGTTCAAGTAGAGTTTAACCGTCGTTTAAAGTAAATTGACAACTTCGATCACTTTCAATCAACTATGATTTTTATTATTATCACGCAATTACAGTATTTGAACCAAATTAACAAAGTCTACTTTGCTATTCAATGTTTATTTATAGTATATTACTAAAATTATGAATCTAAACTTAGGCTAGGAGGTGAATATAAACAACCGTAACCTAACCTTAATGGTCTTAAATTAACAAAAGCTTATTTCTTCATATAATATGTTATAAATTAGATATTAAAATAAACAACTAAATTTTAGTTATCGCCGAATTTGTTGATATTATATAAATATAAATGAATTGAATACTTTCAAAGGAAATATCCGATTTAAACGAAATCGATTCGACTTTGAATAGCAATTGCATTGCTTTTGCATGTGTTCCCTCCGCTTAAAAATCAATTGTTTGCGCCGATTCGAATCGTCCAAATTAATCGGATTTCAAAGTTTCATTGGAAATGGATAGAAAAAAAAACGTGTAAATATATTTTGTTTGCACAAATTCGTTTCGTTGAAATTGAAGAAGAGATGAGTGAAAGAGTTGTGATTGATGATTGGTCAAATAAAATCAATTCGACTTGCGTCATCGCCTCCCCCATCCCCAAACGGCTGGAACAAAAACAAAAGAAAACTATGGAAACAATCAGAAGTTTCGTTTTCCAAGTGCTCAAATAATAGAGAAAGAGAAAAGGCTTTAATATCCTTTAAGTTTACTTTGAACGTCGTTTTCGTATTTGACTCATTAATCAAGTCGCTCTCCTCGCGTAAAATAAACCGATAGAAAAATCGAATTTAATTACAAGGAAAATTTTGTAATTAATACTCACGTTCGAAGCTGTGAGGCAAACAAATGCACAAAAAGTAAATTGAAAAGATTTTTGTGCTTTCTCTCTTTTTCATTTAATATTATTTCAGCCTGCATCTACTCCCCTCGATTCGTAATGAGATTAATGAGTTGAAAGTTGATCTTTCCTCGAGCGCTGTTTTAAAATTCGGCCAAATCTGCATTTCTGTAATTAACTTTTTCAACTAAACGCTTTTATTATTTGATGAATATTTTGTTACAAAGTTTCATCTTCTCGAGAGGATTTTAAATTAATCACCACATAAATTTAATGATGATATAATCTGGAAGTTCCGTAACGTCCGAAAGAGTGTTACATGGACGAAGAGTGTAATAATTAATTTGTTTTAAATCGTTACAAAAGTATCATATCATAGTATATAATTATATATTATTATAAAACACCATTAAAGAAGATAAAAATGAATTACTATAAATAGTTGTATTATCCCTTTGTTACCTGAGCATAGTTAAAATAAAAAAATTCTTTTGTATTTTTTTTAGTTTAGTTTAAATAAATGTATGTTCCAATATTTTTATATTTGTCCAACAAAAAAAAAATATAATGCAAAATTCATGTATAAAATATATTTGTTGATTTGCAATATTTGTACCAGTGGCGTATTTATGGTTGCAGAAAATTAGGTGATGCAACCGTCCAATAACTTCATGTATGTAAGGTTACTAACACTTTTTCTTACAGGCGTGTTTTGAATTATTAAAGTGCGCGTGTGCAGAAGTGAAAATTTTAATATTTTTAGAACATGCGCATTTAAAAAAAAATAAACCTAGCTGTTTACATAAGACAATAGATTGAATAAGGAAATATTTTTTGAGCAAATTATTTGTATGTGTTTTTAAATTATAAAAACTACCCAGCTGTTAGTAACCTAAGAAACTAGAGTATATATGGAAATACATATTCGTACAATGATTTATATGTATTTTTAAAATACATCCAAAATCCCGGAACGTAAGAATGATTATGGAAATAGATATGTCTGTAAATTCATTATATATATTTCTAAAATGAAACCAGGCAAATATAATTTATATTTTTACAGAAAAATAAACTATTATAAATATAGGTTATGATATTGAGATAAATATTGAGATATCTGGAATAACTGCAAAATGATAGAACACAAATACCACAAAAAATCCAGGTATTGAACAAACTACAATATAATAATAATATAATATCATCTGAACATTTCATTCAAACTCTTCGGCGCAAACTCTTGGTTGCAGCTTCGAGAATAAGTCAATAATATTTTACAATTTATAACTTCAGTTGAAATATACTTGAATGCACCAATGGATTTATTGCAGATTTGAAATTTCGAGGGAAGTAATTGCCAAAAACTGAAGATTTAAAGTGTTGCAAACATTTGTTTTAATGGCTTCAGTTCGAATATTGATTGGAACTGAAGTATCGGTTCAAATAAAAATTTCTTTACTAATTGCCTTGCGCTTCCATGCATTTTTTTGTAAAATCACGTAAACAGTTTCTCATGTCTGAATTAATTGGTATTCGAAGATCATATTAAATTGGGTAAAACCTACGATGGAGATCACTTATGCAAGCACGCGATACACTACCGCGAATGGGATTTCCATCCCTCGGCAACATCCATCCTCTCATCAACGCGGATGGATTCTGGGCAAATTTAATTACGAAACCATGTCGGGATGTCGGCCGCGGAAAATTCGCGTTACCGCAGCAGCTCCACTCTGTTTTCCGCATTAATATTCAGGCGTGGGGTAAGTTTTTTTGCTAGCGTAAATGCGATCTGGATGTAATTAGAAGCTCAGAAGTGGATCATAATTATTAAGATATATTCAATTTATGCAACCCCTTGTTCACGTATAGACATCGGCAAGGAGATCCATTATCATCAACATAGTCAGTCGGTCTACGAAAATCCACTCGAGGGAAATCTCGTAAAATCCGAGCGATTCAATTACCAATGTTAATGCATTTCCACCGCCTCGCAGCCTCTTTGATTTTTCCGCTAAATTAACGGGGCCGATCGTCATTCGCACTTTCCATCCTGCCCGAATAAATCAGCTTACAATGAAAAATACCGACTGAAGCGCGTTTTACCCTCTTCCAAATGGATTGCCATAGCGAAATCGTAAAAGCTTTCAGCGAATTCCGCTTTTGCAAATACGCAGCATTAACATCTTCCAACAATCAGATAGCAAGTAAAGTTTCAAATGTTGAAGTTGGGAAGAACATTTTCTTCACAATCAAAACTAATAAACATGAAAAGTGATACTAAATATTATTTAAAATTATAACTTGCGATCATTAAGTGCACCAAACGTATATTAAGAATTATTACTTTAAATAATTAAATAGGTAAACAAGTGTAACTAGAATTAAAACTCTTGTAGAATCCTCGTAACTTATTTTTAAATTATATAACGTAAAAGCGAAAAAAAGAGGACTTTTTAAACAATTATATTACAAGAAAATTCATCAGAGAAGAAGCCTCAGGACGATCGCTATTAATTATTTAACGTAATTATAGGGGATGTTGGAAGCATCCTGAGTGCACGATTTAATTAAATGTACTATAGGGTTGTGCATCACCATGTACGCAAAAAAAGCAGCTAGCAAAAATTGGAGGAAAATCTTCGAAAGTTTCACTGACGGTGCACGAACAAAGAAGGTAATTTAAGTTTTTAATGGTACATGTTCTTTAACTAATTGGGACATGATCCGTCCGTAATCGAAAGGCGATGATCAATTTGCATTAAAATAAGGGAGGGAAGTAAATGAAAAAATAAAAAGACGAAAAAAAAATAAAATAAAAGTAGAGAGAGTTGGGACATTTCAGAATTGCGCTGATCAATCTTTCGGTAATAAATCAAGCCGCATGTTTATTTATTTCGTTCGCCCTCTAATAGAGCGCAGTCATTAAATATCATCAATCACCGGCTCTTCCTCTCCTATTTATTATTTTCATCATTATTATTTCAATTATTACGATCGCTGTCAGGGGGCCTGCACTGGATAGGGCAAAAACTAGTCCTTTTATTTTGAGTTGGTATTAGCTTCTTACCATAT